CAGTGGGGGAGGCATTCTGCTCCTGGCCCATGTCCTGCTCGAGCCACCCTGGTCCTGGCCAGCAGTGACAGCACAAGGTCAGAACCAGAGCTGGAGCTGTAGCAGTGCCTACCTCAGGCTGGTCCTTAAATCCAAGACAAGGTGTCCCTCCCTCCATGTTGGGGGGCGGGGAGCGACTCACCTTGGATTCAAATAAATATGGTACATTAAAAATTGTGTAGTCCCTTGTTTTTTCACGTGTCCATTTTTCTTATTCAGATATACATGTCGTACTTCAGCATCAGTTTATACTCTAATCACTGTTATCTGCTTCATTGGGAATGCAGAACAGCTTTTAGTTCATCCATGACAAAAGAAAGTTCATTAAAAAGATCTGAAAGAGAACGTGGGATTTTGGAGAAGAAAACAGTTTACATTTCCATTTGTCTCTTTCAGCCCCAGGTATAAATACCTTTCTCACTCCACTGCCTCTCTGTACTCCCTGGTAGTATTGTCAGCTGATTATTTTTATGGCAAATTCAGTTCTTCATTGATTTTATGAGAGTTGAAAAAGTTGTCAAAATGTTTGATAATTCAGGAGACTCCAAAGAGTGTTTGCAGTTTGAAAGAAAAATTTTCTGTTTTATCAGTTTTCTAAGAAAGCTTCAGACTTTTTTTTATGTCATCACTTGTGCAGGCTTGCTTCAAGTCACAATAAACATGTGACTTTTGCTTCCAAAAGTGAGTATGTAGCCTCAGCGGACAGCAGTTCTGCACTGGAATTCAACTAAGATGATGGTTTCAAACGGGGACAGTGAATGAAAAGACAGGCAGGAGGTGTGTGTGTGTGTGCATGCGCTATAAATGTAAAAGCAACAAAAAAGGTTTATGTATATTAGTAGTTTAAAATTTCTTGCACTCTTACTAAATATTGATTAATGGATCGGCATTTGCTGACATGGTTGGTTAATCATTGACTATAAGTAATGGCCAAAAAAATCTTTATCAGTGCACCCCTACCAAAAAGTTTGGCCCCCACTGATCTAAGAGATACTTTACTGTCAAACAAAGATTTCTTATCTTTTACTGATTAAAACTGCACAGAAAATCTTTCAAAGAAACATTTCTACAATAAAGGATTTTTCCAAGACGATTGAGTCTCTAATATGATGGGAGTCTGGGTAGTTCTAAATCAGCTTCTAGAATTTTATGTTAGGGTCCTATGTACCTCAGTTGAGCACAACTTTTCACTTGATTCAGTTCAATATACTTTATTAATTAAGACAGATGATGCTCTTATTAATTACTTAGTTTATATATAGCCTTTTTTCTTCCTGTGAGACTGTTTGTTTGTTTTTCACTACATTTTAAGATTTGAATTAATATCCTATGAGTCGTACTAAGGAAGTGGTAGATGAGTTGCATGCAGTTGTTGTAGACCTGTGGCATCAGTTTCTGGTAGTTAAACCTCCTTGTTGGATATCAGAACCAATAAAATTTAAAAAATACGTTTCATGTTGATGGAAAAAGGTTGGTCAAGATCACTACTTCCCTGAACTTTTGTCAGTCTTAGAACTGCAAGATGGAGATGACTTGATGTATTATGAAACCCAAGTGGTTAACCTTGTTTTTTGTTCTTTTTGTCATTTTGTATTGTACAGATTTCAGTGCAGGCAGATATCATCACGAGAGACAACCCTATGGTTTTTGGTTTCCATCTGAACAGTTGTCGGAAGAGGAAATGAGAAGACAAAGGCTTAATAGATTTGAGAGGAGGTGAAATCATCAGATGTCCAATGGAAATGTGTAAAGTGCTCTTCATAGTTGCCAAAATATTTGCAGAACTTTATACTGTTTTTAATTTGCTTCGGAAATTATTTACCACCAGCAAAATGTGCAAAAGACTTGCCAAACTTGGGCTGAAAATCTGGGCTTAAATTAAGGGGGTCCAAAGTTTTGAGCTGAGAGTCAAAATGCAGTCCTTGGCAGCTCACCATTTACTGTATGTGAATGCTGATCAACTAAGTCCAGCTCTCAAGGAAAATAAGGAAAATATACCTCTGATGTTTGTTTTCAATTCTTAATTTTAAAACCAGGCACATCTTCCCTCCAAAAGTTTTCCCCTCTGTTTGCCCATGATGAGCCATCTTTTTAAATGTTTTGTGTAAAATGTTTGGGTTTTTTTAAAATACTGCTTGCATAACACCAGCTGAGCAATGAGCACATTTGAGCCTGGCTGATACCTTTTCAACATGATTTTGAAAGCATGTGCAAGTTGGGTACAGGTGTAGCAATCCTGGTAAGTAACCAACACAACATATTTTATTGCGAAATTTGGTTATCACGTCATCAAATTGTCAATTTTGTCTAGAGAACATTTGCAGTAAAACCGATTTGTAACTTTGTACAGTACCTTGTGATTGCCTGTAACCAGCATGGTAATCTTGAGCCTCAACTCTGAATGTCCTTCCTTTTTCAGGGTTATTTTACTTTAATAGCATTTTTGTTTTTGTTTTTTTTTCAAGGGAAGTGACATGAGCTAAAATTGTGAGGCTAGTTCCTTAGTTATTTACTTAATTAGTTCCCTTGTTCAAAAACTCTGTGTATGCATTAGGCTACGCAAACTCTACCATGTAAATGTTCAGACGACTGTAATTGTACTGTTTTCTTCCGATAGGCTGTAATTGGCTCAGTTACAGTTTCTGTGTTGGGAGAGGGAAGATGTTGGCTGGAGATAAGCTGCTTGCTTGGTGCTGTCAGAAACACTGGATAGCAGGGCTTGATGTACCCAATTATCAGTACTAATGCAGCTCTGTATCAGGACAACACCATGACTCTGCTTAGCCTACACGCCCCCGCCCCCCAGTAACAGATAGTCAAATAATGGCTGTACCACTTGGAGGCTGCTAAGAAAAAAAGACAGCTGTGCTCTGTCTCCATTGTAGTGTACCTGTGCAGGGCATTGTGGAGCTGCAGGTTTGTAGAAAACTTAGAATGTTATTGGTCACACGCAGCTAACATAGCAGTGCTAATTAACAGGAGTGGAGATGGGGATGGGCAGTATGTCAGTATGTGTTACCATCCTGAAAGATCATATTTTAAAAAAGAAAGTCTGAGCAATGGAAAACCTGGACAGGGGGAAATTCCTTTCAGTCTTGAAAGGCATCTCCTCTTGAAAAAAAAATTTTGATTGCTGGCATATGATGTGGAACTGCTGGAAATGTATAAGCACTGATTTAGTTTGAGTGTTGGGGTAGGCAATTCTTTTGTAGCTTATTTTCAGGACCCCGCACTATGAAATCTTGAAACCTGTACCTTCCTTTGGAGTTTCAGACTGATTTGTATTCTTACAGTATATATTATATAAAATGTCTGATAAAACTGACAAAACAAGAAACTGTTCATTCAAACAATATCTGAAACTGCTGGATGCGTGTTAGATGTATATGTGTACCTTCTAATTTTTATCAACAGACATACAAGAGGGAATCAGTTGGCTAAAATTCACATGTTGTCCCCCACCCTTTTCCTAGTATCTTTGATTAAGGTTCAAGCCAAGGAAAAGCACAAAATGAGCATACCATATATTTGGCTTTCCAGGTGCTGGGAGCCAACAATCTGAACTATGCTGCAGCTCTGAACATCTTTGTAAAGTCTGTGTCAAGGTGTGTATATATAGCAGATACTATTCATTCCTATTCAGCACAGTCCTTTCTGGCCGATTCTGAGTACAGGAAACATGGTATTGTAATGTCCATTTCTGTCCTTCTGCAGGATGAAATAGTTGATAAAAAGATTTTTTGTTAATCATCCCTGCTGTTTACATAGTGTATATATATACTAGTCACAAATTAAAGTAGCATGTATTCTTTTATCTTCAAGTAGGGTGCTTTTTCTAATTTTATACATTCACTTACGAAATCATGTAACAAACCAAAGAAAATTTTCCAGTCTCAGTACTTCTGTTAGTGCATGGTTTTGTGACATGAGCAAAAGGCAGCATTATCTCCTATCAAAACTGATCTAAAAGCTCACACACAGTTTTGTTTTAGTTGGTTTTGTTCACGAAGCTCCATTATTTAAGTGATTCCAGCAACGGTGTAAACCAAACTGGATGCAATATTGTTTATGAACAGTGGCTTCATGGCACTATTAGTCAACTGCAAAAAGTGCTGAAACAAACCCAAACCAGTATCCCATTTTTAATGCATTGCTTCTTTGTAAAGTTATATTAGAAATCTTGGTATGGGGGGAGTTTATTACTGTGCTCCTCTTGACACAGAACTGTGCACCATCACATTATCATGGGTTAGGGTTCTCTTTATTGCTTTTTCTTTACTGCCATTTTGTAATGAGCTTTGTCATGAAACATTCACAAATAACCTTGTTCGGTATATGGCCACTGCACCTTTTTCTTAGTGCAAAGTTGAAATAAACATCTTTTACATTTTGAGCCTGTCTGTCCATTTGTTCCATGTTTTAATAGCTAATAAGTGAGCAAGCCCGTAAGTTGGCATATTTTTATACATTGAATACTTCAATGTATTAGAGATGACAACTAATCAGGTAATTAATTAAAGAGATTATCTGTGTTTAGGACCAATTCTGCTCCCATTGTATTCATTAGTTTTTTCAGCTCTTTGTATTGTCATCGAAGTGTAACCTTTGGAATAGTTTATTGATGTAATAGAGCAGGGGTGTCAACTGGGGTACGTGTACCTCTGGGGGTACTTTGGAAGGCCCCAGGGGGAACACGGCAGTGGTGCAGAGAAACTGCTGGCACTTCCAGTTTTGCTGCTGGCACTTCGGGTTTTGCTTGTTGACCAGCCGCCAGGGGACACCCACGGCCCCCACCTTCCCTGCTCATCGTCTGGTTGCTGGGGGAGTCTCCCCGCTTCTTGACTGGCCTCCAGCCAGTACACCAACCAAAAAAGGTTGAAAACTCTGAAATAGAGAATTATTGGTTTCCTGTCAGGGTTTCCCCCTGCACTTTATTAAATTAAAATGAAAACTTTTCCTTTAAAAGAATTCATGCAGCTTGGAGAGAACCCTGATGATAGCATATGCAATGCTGTTAATGTATTGGAATCATAGAACCATACAAAGTTAGGGTTGGAAGGGACCTCAGGAGGTCATCTAGTCTGACCCCCTGCTCAAAGCAGGACCATCCCCAGCTAGATCATCCCAGCCAAAGCTTTGACTAGCTGGGTCTTGAAAACCTCCGAGGAGGGAGCTTCCACCACATCTCTGGGTAACCTGTTCCAGTATTTTACTATCCTCCTAGTGAGAAAATTCTTCCTAATATCTAATCTAAACTTCCCTTGCTGCAACTTGAGACCACTGCTCCTTGTTCTGTCATCTGCCACCACTGAGAACAGTTTAGCTCCATCTTCTTTCACCTCCCCCACACTTCAGGTAGTTGAAGGCTGCTATTAAATCCCCTCTCAGTCTTCTCTTCTCTAGATTAAATAAGCCTCTTCCCTCAGCCTCTCCTCATAAGTCATGTCCTCTAGCCCCCTAACCATTTTTTCACCCCCTGCTGGACTTTCTCCAATTTGTCCACATCGTTTCTGTAGTGGAGACCCAAAACTGAACATAATACTCCAGATGTGGCTTCACCTGTGCTGAATAATCACTTCCCTTGCCCTACTGGCTGCACACCTACCAATGCATCCCAGTATGCTTTTAGCCTTTTTGGCAACAAGAGCACACTGCTTTGTTCATATTCAGTTTATTGTCCACTGTAACCCCAGGTCCTTTTCTACAGAGCTGCTGCTCAGCCAGTCAGCCCCCAGCCTGTACTGGTGTATGGGATTGCTCCATCCTAAGTGCAGGACTTTGCATTTGTCCTTGTTGAACCTCATGAGATTTCTTTTGGCCCAATCCTTCAATTTGTCTAGTCACTCTGAATCCTAGCCCTACCCGCCAGTGTATCTACTACTCTTTGCAGCTTGGCGTCATTTGCAAACTTGCTGAGGGTACCCTTTATGCCACCTTCCAAGTTGTTGATGAAGACATTGAACAAAACCAGCCTCAGGACAGACCCCTGGGGCACTGATATCAGCTGGCAGCTAAACATCGAGCCATTGATTACTACTTTCTGACCCTGACGCTCCAGCCAATTTTTCTATTCACCTTACAGTCCATTCATCCAGCCCTTACTTCCTTACCTTGCCTGCAAGATTGCTGTGGGAGACTGTATCAAAAGCCTTGCTAAAATCAAGGTACACCATATTTACTGGTCTCGCCACATCCACAGAGCCAGTTGTTTTATCATAGAAGGCAATTAGGTTGGTCAGGCATGACTTGTCCCTGGTGAATCCATGCTGACTGTTCCTAATTGCCTTTTTTTTTCCCCCTCCAAGTGCTTATAAATGGATTCCTTGAGGTCCTGCTCCATGGTTTTTCCAGGGACTGAGGTGAGGCTGACTGGGTCTGTAGTTCCCTGGATCCTCCTTACCCTTCTTAAATATGGGACATGTGGTTGCCCTTTTCCAATCATCTGGGACCTCTCCTGATCACCATGAGTTTTCAAAGATGATGGCCAAAGGCGCTGCAGTCACATCAGCCAACTCCCTCAGCCTCAGCACCCTTGGGTGCATCCCATCTGGCCCCATGGACTTGGACATGTCCAGCTTTTCTAAATACTCCCTAACCTGTGCTTTCACCACTGAAGGCTGCTCCCCTCCTCCCCAAACTGCTGCCCAATGCAGTAGTCTGGGAGCTGTCCTTGCCTGTGAAGACTGAGGCAATAAAGGTATTGGTACTCTCTGTTCCTCAGTATTTCTCCAGGATAGGAAGAATTTGATATTCAGAATATAATGCTTAGCTCACTGACAGATTCCTTAAAGTTATTCTCTGACTGAACAGTTCTCCATAAAATAAGTGATTTTTCCAAAACAAGAAATGGTTTGATTTATTAAATGTTGGCATCTGATTCAGGTACTGTGATTTTTCTCATGGGTTAAGTGTCTTGCTTTACTTTTTGTGACCAGCTACCCATGTAACAAAATCCACCTGCCTGCTTGATGCTGATAAACAGAATTGTTTGTAGCCTCACTCGTGACACTAAGAATTGAATGGTCTGAATGAGTAACTCTCTTGAGGATTAAGGTCTGTGGAAGGTGCTGAGTGTCTAAGCTGTTTATACTACTGTCCCTTCTGTTTTGTTTTTGCTCTGCGTGTGCAGACCGGCATTTTTGAAGGAGGAAAAAATGCTGCTTGGGGGGGTGGCGGGGTGGGGAGGGGAAATGATGTTCATGGATGTTATCTGACACTGCTGAAGAGACTGATGGCCAGGCTGTCTGTGTGCAGCTGAGTGGAGTGAGGGGGATTTATTTTGAGAAGGATTTTTTCATTAGCTTTCATTATATTTTACAGTTGGATGGGAAATGGGAAGCTAATTAAAAGCTTATTGATATCCACGACTAGGTAGATAGGGACCCTAACTATTGCCTTGTTAAAGGAGGAATGTAAAGACTCAGTGGAAAGATGAGGGCTAGAGGCCTCAAAGAGAAAACGGACATCTTTCTTGACCAAGCTCTGCCACATCAGGTGGAAGCAAAGAAAAACAGAAGGCCAAATTACTATTTAAAACAGACCATTTAAGAGGGGTTTTTTTCTCTGTTTTGGCAGGGGTGCATTTTGACCAGGCTTAGCTAGGTCTTAGCTTACAGGCTACAAAAGTAGAAAGAGCAGAACTTGGGAAGCCAAGTCTCTGTATTGACAGTTGCATTTGCCTTTTACAACTTGAGCTTTATTCACAGGTCAGGAAGCAAAGTAGCATTGCCAGTACATTGTGCATAAGATGGTCAATCCAAACAAATGAATAAGCAAGAAGGAACAAATCAACATGTCTCTACTATTGTGTGCTCATTTCTTGGTAAATAAGCAACAATTTTTCAGCTAGCTATGCACGTCTGTGATTATGGTACTTGTGTGTATGGTTGCTTATTTATTTTAACTTCTGCTGCTTATGGAAATTAGCAGCTGATAAGTCCTGGCCTGGACAGTGTTGGGAGGTCCTCCAAAACTTTGCCTTGCACATTTTGGGCGTGTCCAGTCAATCGCGCACGTGCCTCTTGCCCCACCTCAAACCCCTTTGAGGTGGGGCAACAGGCACGTGCGGGAACAAAAAAGCGTTCGGATATTCAGGGGTCTAAAAAAATCGAAGTTTAAAAAAGCGGTGGACCATGGGCTGAGGCAACCGGAGGTTGGGTCCGCCATGGAGATGCTCTGGATGCCAGAGCATCTCTATGGTTGGCCCTTCGCCCTGGTGCTGAAACACATGGCTGGCCAGGCTGCATGTTTCAGCACCAGGGTGCTGGTGCTGGTGAGTAAGGGGTCGGGGGGGCTGGAGGAGGGGGCAGAGGACCATGGGGAGGAGTCCTGAT